GGGTGGCTCCTTGGAGGCAAGGATTCTGAGTCTCTGTCTAACATACTTTGGATATGTTTTGAGGAGAGACCGGTCCCTGGAGAGGGACATCATGCTTGGGAGGGTGGAGGGACAGCGCAGCAGAGGAAGGCCCTCTATGAGGTGGATTGATTCGGTGATTGGGATAATTGGAATGGCAGTGTCAGAGACGGTGCAATTGGCACAGGACAGAGCGGAGTTTAGGGCTGTTGTACACAGGGTCGCTATGAGTCGCAAGCAACTCGGTGGCACATAACAACATAATTTTAAGGCATGTTTTGTAGACTGTATTCTTCATGAGAACATATCTCTAGGCCTCTTTTCCTATGGATCCACTGATGGGTCTAAATTATTGACCATTTGGTTAGCAGCCTAGTGGCCATCCTACCATTAGGATTTCTACAAAATAGAAAATATAAAATCAAATAATTACTGAACCTTTAACTGGAATAGATGAGGATATGAAGATGAAATCTACAGTTCCTCACTTTGTGGTACTTATAACTAGACAAAAAAGACAATAAGGAACTTAATTTAAGTTCATCATTTTAATACAAGGGAGCACTGGTATACTAGTTGTTGTTGTTATGTGCCGTCGAGTCGCTTGTGACTCATTGCAACCCTAGTACAACAGCTCTAAACTCTACTCTGTCCTGTGCCAATCTCATTGTCCCCAACACCCTCATCCTGATTGCCACAGTCACTGAATCAATCCACCTCATAGAGGGCCCTTCCTCCCTCCTGCACCTGCCCTCCACCCTCCCAAGCATGATGTCCTTCTTCAAGGAGCGGTCTCTCCTTACAACATGACCAAAGTATATCAGACCAAGCCGCAGAATCCTTGCGTCCAAGGAGCAGCCTGGTTTAACCCTCTCCAGGACAAATCTGTTTTCTTGGCAGGCCATGGTACCCACAGCACTCTTCTCCAACACCAAAGCTCAAAAGCATCAATTCTCCTTCTATCCTCCCTGGTCATTGTCCAGCTCTCTGACGCATAACAAGTGATTGCAAAGACCATGG